CGGTTGCGAAGACTACGACGTATGATCTTAGAGTGGTCAAATCATTTAAACTTGATAGTAATTTTACAGCTAGGGACGAGCAATGTGACTAAATCTTCCGCTTTGCAAACTATGTAGATCCGCAGTCTAGGAACTGGCCCGCTTACTATACGAATCGCACCATTTTAAAATAATATGCGTTTGTTAGACCATAACGGGGAGACGCCCCCGCTTTCAATAGACAAATCAACCTTTTAACTTATCAATACGCAGGTAAATTTAGCGACACTCTACTTGAGTAATGCTTTCCTCTTCTACGATTATAAACTGTTGATTTTCCTTTCATTTGGAAAGGCCTATTACGAAGGCAAGTAGACGCTTAAACTCTGTCGGCTTCAGTTGCTCAAAGTATTTGCATAACTACATTGTATATCTCTCCAACCTTTGTTGTTTTGCCTGTTTTTGTTTGAAAATTTTCAATCGAACACGATTTAAAAAGAGAAATGCATTATTTAGCCTCTTGTGATAAGATACTCCGGAGACTTTTTTAAAAGCTGTACGTCGTGCTTCTGCCGTGCCGAACTAAATTCAGGAATTAAGTTCGACAAAAGCACGGCAGAAGCACGGCGTCTGAATCAAACTTTTGAATTAAGTTCGGGAAGCAATTAAGTTCGACAAGCGCTGCCGTGCTACACGGCTCTGGCACGGCAGCGATTCAAACGTCGTGCTTCCGCCGCGCTAAACAAAAGTTCATAAATTATATTAATGTATTTTGGTGAGATTGCGTTCCCACGGGGAGTTGGAAGAAGAATTGTCACGAGGCATCAGTAAATCCTGAATTTGGTTGGACTCTGGCACGACGTCTGAATCAAAGTTGTTTTCCTGCCGTGCTATAGTCGAACCAAATTGCAATTAAGTTCGGCACGGTAGAAGCACGACGTCTGAACTGGGCCTTAAGCTCCCAAGTGCGCCAGCAGCCAACTTGAATGGTATGAAAGTTGGCATAATTAATAACATTCGGTGTCTTGTGTCACCAATGACCTAACAACGCAGGGCTGTCATCTTTAAAGCAGGTGTAGCACGCTGGATGTTCACCCAACGAATTGTATTTTGTTATGACTGTGTATTTTGTGTAAATTTGCAAAAAAGGGAAAAATTGCGCGATTGCGACGCTGATTTTAAACTTTCCAAAAACGCTTGAACTCGTTCAGTAAACAAACCCTAAAGCTGACGTTTTTAGCTAGTAAATCTTAAGCGTGTCGTTTAGCGTGAAGTTTGGTCTCCTTTGCTTAAACATTTCTTAGGCGTTGAGAATTTTTTCTAATAGCGGCGCTCCAGTGCCAAGGACGCACGCGAACGAAGTAGCTAAACCGAAAAGAAATCTCATTAACCAAGCGAACGTTCGGACACAACGTACGGGAAACCAATATAAATAAATTTTTTTACATTTCAATTGTTTCTTTATAGTTCTATTAAAAAAAAACAAAAACAAAAAAAAAGAAAAAAAAATATATAATTTGCACGGGCTCTCACCAAGAGAAGGTGTTTAGGTTCAGCATGCTTCTCATTCCCCGTTACGGAACCTCCCTTGCGGTTTCGCACTGGAAATTAAGGATGGTACTTATGGTTGAGTACCGATCCAGCCGTCTCGACCAAAACAAGCCATTTTCCGTTTTTTTTTTTTTTTTT